ATGTATGTATATAAAGGTAGCATCTTGGATCAGCAGAGAAAAAAAGAGTAGCCAAGCAGTATTGGAAAAATTAGCTGTTTAGGGGGAAAAAACTGAGTTATCCTCAAAAAGAATAAAAACCTTCAAAGCATTTTTAGAACAAAAGAAATCACAAACACCTCTGTGTAGGTATGGTGATTCATGTCTATAATCCCGGCTACATGGAAGGCTGAGGCAAGACAATCACAAGTTTAAGGCCAGCCGAGCAACTAAATGAGACTGTTTCTCAATAAAAAAAGATTGGGAATGTAATTCAGGGTTCCATGGGTTCGATTCCCAAAGCCACCAAACAGCAACCCTAAAATATCAGAGCCTCAAAAACCACCACAAAACAAAGATAGGGTATGTGAAATTTGTAACAAATGACAAGAATAAATTAGTAAGAAACTGTTTTAAAATAGCCCAAGAATATGAAAAGACAAGTATGAAAAGCACATTATCTTCATTAATATCAAAAGTATTCATAATTTAAAAAATTAGAAATGACTAACCATAGAGGGTTAAATAAGTGATGACTTATCTTTTAATGGAATACCATGAATTGGAGGAGTAGGACTAGGGATTGAGTCTAGGACCTTTGCACTAAACTACAACCCCACCCATTTTTACTTTTTTTTTTTCCTTTGGCGGAACCGGGGATTGAACTCAGGCCCTTCCGCTTGCCAGGCAAGCACTTATTCTACTGAGCCATCTCCCCAGGCCCCACTTTTACTTTTTTGAGGCAGAATTTAGCCAGGTTTTCCAGTTTGGGCTTGAACTTGCGCTCACTTTTCTCAGCCTCCCAGAGTGGTGGGATTACAGACATTCCCCACCATGCCCAACTTCAATGTTCTTAAGGTTATTTAATGACATGAGAAGATAATACAGTATTAAGTTGTCATGGTCTGTGTCTGTCCCCCCAAAGCCTTATGCAATCATGGGGTGGACTTCTAGAGGCTGTGACTAATTCATGATCCAATGCTAGGACCATGGGTTCGGGACTGCTACACCCACCCTGGGGCAGACAGCCTGTATACAGTACAATGAAGGGAGGAAGAGAAGCATGCTCTGTCTCTGCTGCTAGGCTGCCACAGCCCCTCCCTTTTTGCTCTTGCTGTTTTGCCATTTTTCACCGCCAAGAATTGCTGCCCTCTGCCTTGAAGCCAGCAGAGTATGGACTGAAACCTGCACGAACTGTGAGCTAAATAAACTTTTCCTTCCCTAATTCTGGGTGTTGGGTATTTTGTCCCAGCAAGGAGAGAAAAGTAACCGAGACATAAGTGAAACTTAAAACTGCACAGAGCACTTCTCCCAGTGACATCACAATATTAAAGAATATTAATTCAAGCCAAACATGATGGCTCGGACCTGTAATCCCAGCACTCGGGAGGCTGAGGCAACAGGACGTCCAAGGACAATCTGGGCTACATAAACTATCTCAAAAAAAAAAATAAATAAATAAAGACATTCAAATAATTTGAATTTTCCCCTCTGCTCCAGGCCATCCTTCCATACCCTTCTGCCACTGTACCATACTCTACCTGCCCTCCTGTTTTGCCAGGGTTCTCTATGCAAACTCTTCTCTCTCTACTCACCAGTCCTTAGGTAGAAGACCTCTTACAGTGTCTTTAAGTTCTTCCCCAAAACTTAGCACCTGCTTCTCTGCTACCCTGACCATCTCTTTTAGGACGTTTATCTGTTTTTCCAGCCCCTAACCCCATCAGCAAAAACTGTTTTTTCTGTACATGATGAATATTTCTTGCTCAAATAATTCTCAAATGAATGTTCTGAGTACATATCCAATTTTAATAAAGAAAATCAAATTACTCAGTTCAACTCTACTTGGATAGGAGTTTCATTTTCTTCTCCACATGATCCTTCTTCCTCCACATTCAAATGCATACCATGTAGGCTTTGAAAAGGAGAGAACAAAACTACTTCTTTTTTTTTTTTTTTTTGCAGAGCCAAGGATTGAACTCAGACCCTTGCACTTGCCAGGGAAGCACTTACTCTACTGAACCATCTCCCCGGCCCCTCTTCTCCATTTTTAATTAGCTCCTAGCTCTACACTGAGATATACATTCTTGAACAGGGATAATTGGGGCCAGGGAGATGGCTCAGTAGAATTAAGTGCTTCCCTGGCAACCACAAGGGCCTGAGTTCAATCCCCAGTTCCACCAAAAAAAAAA